GGGCATTTCTGGGCAGGTGAAAGGGCTCAGGGGTCTCAGAGTAAAATAAGCCAGCTGGAAGGAGGGAGCAGGTGCAAGTGGGGTTTCCTGCCTCCATCCCTCTGTCTCCCCCTCTCCCCTGGCGTAAGGAACACCTGCCGCTCCAGAGGTGCCAGGACTAGTCAAGAAGAGAGAGGTGGGCTGTGGGGACTGGGCTGTGGGGCCATAGGCTGGGAGGGTTGCAGTGAGAAGGGGTGAGGTGCAGAAACAAGGGGGGTGTGGAGGTACACCAAACAACACAGGCAGTTTTCTGGGTGTCATTTGGACAGAGAGCAGGGGACAAACTAGATGGGCAATGTCCTCCAACCATGGTGATGCCAGGGACTTAAGGAAAGCCCTCCCCACCCTGCTTCCTCACATCCACCTTTTTGACTCGTGTCTTCCATTTTATCCACTTAATTGTTTAATGAGTAGGGGCAAAATACTCATTATTGAATGGTTAGCACTGTATTAAACTCCTAAAGGTGTTTTTGTTTTTGAATAATTCTTTTTCACGGTGGGAGTAAGGGAGATACCAAGAAAATAAGTGAAAGGCACCATCTCATTGTGAAACTCTCTTGGGTTCAGCCAGCAGCCGTGCCGGTGCCACTCAAACCATGCATGTAATGCCAAGGGAAGGCGGAGCCCAGCACAGTTGCTTTAAACATTTTAACAATGGGCTTCATAAAGTGATGCTGAGAGGGCAGAGAAAAAATTCAGCCCTGACAAAGGACAGCACCATCCTATCGCATCTCCAGGTCAGCGATGACCTCGAAGGGCACGGAGGTCAAAGGGGATGTTCGATAGAAGGGGCTCTTCTCCCCCTCGGGATAAATCTGAACCTTCCTCAATCAAGCCAATTCCAAGTTTTCTTCTTGCATTTTATGGGAGTAACCCACTTCTTTTGTTCCTGTCAAGGGAGCTAGAAAACACTTAAATGCCACGCCCTTGTAGGCTGATGGGCTGGCACGCAGACAGGTCTGTGCAGGGCAGGGATGCAGGCACGGATTGTCACTCATCTCCAAACAGCACAACCGAGAACTCCCTCCCCCACCTGTCCAAAGGCAACCCCCAGAGACAAGTCAGATGATAGCAGTAAACACACCTGTTACAGGAGGAAATGCTGGTCAAGGAATGGATTCCAGAAGCCCTGTGGATGGGGCACTGTGGGGAGGGAGGGAGTTGTTTGTTTAGAGGACGGTTTGGAGATGGGGACTGGACAAGCAATTTGTAAGTGGTGAACATAGACAGTATCATAAATGGCAAAATTACACCTCAGCATTAACTACAGAATTAATTATGGCGGGACAGGTCATTTTGAGGGGCGGGGGCCCACTAAACTAAGAGACACCCTGCTGAGCTGAGCTTGGGGTGGCCAGAGGGGCCGGCCTGGCAGTCGCTGTCCTAGGTCCCCACCACTCCCAACCGGACCGGCTAGATCCCGGCATGGAGTTACAGGTTCCTGAGCGCCACAAGTCGACGGGTCTCCGGGGTCATAAAAGCGCCCCAGCACGCTGGGGATTCTGGGGCCGGGGTCCAAGGCCCCCGATGGGGGGCCCGGCCCTTCCCCAGGCCTGCGCGGGCTCAGCGCGCACCGCCCGAGCGCAGGGGCAACCGCTGCACCCGCGCTGCAGCCGCACAGAGCCAGCGGCCGAGTTGGTGGATCCTCATAGGAAGGCTCATCTTCACGCTCCCGGGGTTCCTCCATCATCACCCCCCAGACCTTGCCAACCCCAGCGCCCCATCAAACCACCAACAGATTTCAAAATGGAGCAGAATCACGGCCGCGCGCGTGGACCACGCTTTGTTCCCGGTGCCGGGCTGAACGCGCTCCCCTGGGCCGCGCTCACTGTACCCCAAACCACAGGAGGTGACCCCCTCCGCCCGCAGCCATGCCGCCGGCCCCGCGACCCCAGGGCCGCCCCGAGGCCCTCGCTCCCTCTGGAACCAGAACCCCAGGCCCAGTCCCGCGGCGGGGAGGTGGCGGGAGAGGAGAGAACCGCGTGCAAATCTTGCAACCCTCCCGCGAAAGACCTGGAAGCGCCGCGGCTCTGATCCCCGACGCCACAGCCCCGAGGGCGCAGCCCGGCCCCGGGCAGACTCTCGACCCCCGACCACCGAGTCATTCTGCAGATCCTCAGGTCGTCCACCGCCGCGTGGCTGACTCGGGCCCTAAGACGTGGAGACCTCTCAGCTGCGCCCTGGCACCGGCTCTCAGGGAGACAGAATAACCCAGAAAGCCGCAAGGACCGGCTGCTCGAGGGGGGCTTGGATCTACTCTCTAGGGGTCCCGTGCCCCACCCCGGGTTTCAAGGACGCGGTGAACTCCCGCTCTCGAGCGAAAATCTCGCAGGTTTCTAAAATAATGTCCAGCCACAATAATACCAACACATCGGGGACGCCCGTCTGGGTGGCTGCGGCCGCGCCAGGCCAAGTAAGACGCGCCGCCAGCCCGGGGCCGGGGCATCCCGCCCGCGCCCAGGCTTCTCGATCCCTGCCGCGGAGGGACCCGGCAACGCCCCAAGGTCCCTCCTCAGGACGCGTGAGGTTCTCATGGCAACCGCCCTCCGTGCCCCCCTCCCAGTCAGACGGGGGGAAATGGGTGTGGCCGCAGCACCCGAGGAAACCTCGAGCCCCCTCCTCACATCCCCCCGCGGGGAGAAGCAACAGGGCGCGAGGCGGGGGGCCGGGCCTGCGCGCGCCCTCCCAGCCGTGCCGGTGCCCTTCGCTGCGCAGCCTGCCTGCCCCGGCGAGGCCCCGGACGCTCGGGCGTGGGGAGGGTTCGTTCCTTCGCGGCCCCCGCGGGGACCTCGACTCCCGCCCGGTCGCGGCGGGGCCGGAGCAGCTCGGGCGGGGCGCGGGCGGGGGTCGCTCAGGCGCGCGCGGCTCCACGCGTGCCCCGGGCTGGGGCCCGAGTTCAGCGACCCCCGCCAGCCCCGAGATCTAACAAAGGGCTGAAAATGAGGGACGAAAGGGGGGGGGGCGGGGAGAAGCCGAGGCCCGAAACACCCTCATGGAATAAAAACCAAAATCCCCGGGCTGGCGACTCGGACCACGGACACCCGACAGACAAAGCCGCCGGCCCGGAGCGAGACCCGGGGGAGCGCTCCAGCTCGCCGCAGCGAAACGCCGGGGGTGCAGCGCCTATCGCGGCTCCCCCCAGGCCCCCCCCCGTAATGACAGTCCCCCCCTGTCCTCCGAAGCCCGGCCACCCGCTCGGCAGCGTTCCGCAAAGACGTGACACGCTGCAAAAAGATGGCACCTCGCGCTCGGAGGGGAAAAAAGCGGGGGTGGGCGTGGGAGGAGGCGCAGGCTCCCCCCACCTCGCCCACCGGGGTCCACACCCACTGCCGCAGTGAGGGGCGAGCCCCGCGCGCCGGCCCGCGCCTCCGGCAGGGGCGCACACGCGGGGCGCGGACGCGGGCCCGCCCCGAAATGCACCTGCAGCCCCCGCGCGCTCCCCGCGAGGCTGCCGCGCGCACGCCGCGGGCGGGGACCTGCCGGCCGAGCCCCGCACACCCCAGGGCCGGGTGACCCTGCCTGTCCGAGCCCCCCGGGGCACCCGCGGCCGCCGCCTCCCGCGCGCCGCGCCTCCCGGGGCCAGGCGCGCGCAGGGGGAAGGGCAGCTGAAGTGACAGCGCCCGGACCCCTCCCATCCCCCGGATGCTGCTCCCAGCCCCCAAATGTCCCCTGAAGGTTCCTGAAGGAGGAAAGCCGGGCGGGGTCGGCCACCGCCTCAGATCAGGGGCCGCGGGGGCTCGTCGGAAGCGCCGCGGGAGGTGAAGGGAGGGGCAGGCGGGGGTCCTCTTTCCCGAACCCGAGCCATGCCGTCCTCCAGAAAAATCAGGCTGCAGGCTCGATGTCGGGGTCACCCTAGGCCACCACCCGCACCCCGCACACACGCACGCCCACTGCGGCAAAAGGCGGCGGTCCCCGGCGCCCCGCAGCCCCCCCCCCCCGGGGCAGCGCCATCTGCGCCCCACCCAGCCGCCCGGCCGCCGCCTCGCCCGCGCCCAGCGGGGCGTGCGGACCCCCGCGCACACGCACTCACACGCACTCACACTCACACGCGCGCCTGCCCGCATCTCCTGCGCGGGTGTCTCTCCAAGCCGCCCTAGCCCAGCTCCAGCGCAGAGGCGCAGGGAGGAGCCCCGCGGTCGCCCCAGCCTGAAGCGCTCGAAGCCCATTTCCCCGCGGGGGCGAGGCGCGGGGCGCGGGGCGCGGGGTGCGGACGGGGAGGCAGGTGCCGCAGCCCCGCGCTTACCTGACGGTTGGCAGAGGGCGAGGGCCGTCAGGGAAAACCGCGGAGGAGCAGCGCTGTGGCGGCGCGGCAGAGGTGGGCGGCGGCGCGGCGGTGCAGGAGCTGGTGGGCGGCGGAGACTCGAGCGCGCGCCGGCCCCAGACGCGCTCCCGACTCCGGCGGCGGCGCAGGCGCGAGCAGCGGGCGCGCGAGCCGCCCCGGGAGGGGTGGGCGGGGGGCCTGGCGGGCGCCCTCTCCTCCGGCCGCCAGGGGGCGCGCGCGAGCGCCCCGCCCCGCGGCCCGCCCCGCCGGCTGCTGGCTCCGCCCCGCGCGGCTCCTCCCGGGCCCCCCCCCACGCTTCGGGCCGCGGCGCTGACGGTCAAGCGCACGCGCGCTCCGCGGCGCACGCGCACTCCGGGGCGCCTCCTGCGGCCGGCGCCTTTGTCTAGTCTGCGGGGTCGGCTCCCCCGGGAGAGGGCAGGGTGGCCCCTGGGTAGGGGAGAGCCTGGATGCTCAGCCTCCGGATCTGCTGCCTGTTTTCTTCCTCTAGTCGTGGGGTGATGGCCTTGCTGGGGAGGGTCCGGGCAGGTTTCCACATGGCCGGCCCCCCGTTCTCTCCCCATGCAGCCTCCAGGCCGCCCCCGGCGCGTGGTGCCCACGCGGACCCGGCACCCCGGAGTCCCCCGAAACAGCCCCCCCCCCCGGTCATTTTCCCGGAGGCGACTTCGTTTCCACCTGCTGCCTTTCCACCTTTTTTGTTGTTAACCAAGGTGAATTTTTTTCCTCAGCAAATCCTCTTAAAACACTGGCTTGTAATACGGTAGCGCAGAGTGTTGTTGTTTTTTTTTTTTTTTTAAGGAACATTTAAATATTTCTTCTAATGTTAAGTTAGACAAAGATCTAAATGGTGCTTATCACGTTTCAGAACATTTTCATACATAATTATTTTCATCTCTTTGAAACACCATTAAACTATAAGCAGGACTTGAGATCTGAATGTCGGAGCTTCCTGGCAGGAGATTGTCACCTGGATAACACACCTCAGACCTGAGGCTTTCATCCTACCCCTCGGTCATCTGGGCTTTGGTTCGGCTAGTGTCCCCAATGGCTAACTGAAGCCCTGGCCATGGCGGCTCCCCCAGGTGTGGGTAGGAACTGATTCCCAAGCTTTCCTTTGCAAAGCTCTTACATTCTTTTTTTTGAAAACTATTGTATGTTATTAAACTGATTAATTTATAAAGGGGGTTATTAAGATGCTTTATTCACATAGATTTAAATAATACTATTATTACAGGGAACTTTTTGTTTGCTTTTTGTTTTTATTATAGGGAACTTTGAGTGAATGATGGAAATTGACTCCTTCTGGCCCTTTGCAATTGACCTTTTTGTTGTTCTTGTTCCAGCTGCCATCCTCCTAGTTCAAGATTACCTTGGCTCTGGAGATGTTCCTAACTGGACTCCCTGCTCTCCTATTCTCCCTATTTCAGGCCAGCCTGCATCCTCCAGTCAGGTCAGTTTTCAGAAGCAATCATTTTAACGTGGCACCATTTTGTTCAAAATTTCTAGACTTTTAACTGCCCCCTAAGTGAAACTAAACTCCTTAGTTTTTTTTTTTTTTTAAAGGTGGTTTGATTTTTTTTTTAAAGATTTATTTATTTATGCATACACAAACTGGGATATAGGCCAGAGGTGCGGGACACGGGGTGGGGGTGTGAGGGGATCCACCAGAGACAGAGTGGGGAGCAGAACAGGCAGAATGACTGAAATACACTGCTGAGGGGAGCAGCGGGTGAGACAGGAGAGGTCTGCTGCACCATGTGGGTCACCTCCCTGGCTGGGGATCAAACTTTTGCTGCATGCAGTGGCTGTGGACACGCAGTGGCTGCGGATAGCTCCACAGTGCTGGGTCTTAACTCCTTGCGCCACTGGGGAGGGCCCTAAACTCCTTAGTCTTAAACTCAGTGTTGCTGCCAGCTCCCCACCATATGAGCCATGTCCTCTCTGCTTTTCTCTCTCATCTACTCTACAGTCAGCTAACTCTTTCCCACCTCCACGCTGGGTTTTTCCTTGCCTACAGGATCCTTGATCTTTCTTCATCCACCCCCCCCCACAATGTCCTACCTAACCTTCAAGCCTGGCTGCATTTTACCAAAGCCTCCCCTAGCCACCCCAGCTGGAAAGAACATTTCTAACTTCTTGAAGGAGCTTAGTGAAGTTAACACATTTTCTCTCTGAAAGTAGAGGGGAGGAGAAAGGGGACCTAATATCCTCTTGCTGCACTGAAGTCTCATTATTTTCCCCAGTTGTTTCCTTTCCCCTTTTCCTGTATTCTGATAGTGGTTCGGCTGTGTGATCTTTGTGTACTAGAACGAATGGATGCCATGTGGATGTGTGGAAGCAGAAGCTGTAAGAGTCATTGGGAGTTTCCGCCTTCCCTGTGTCCATACTTTTTTTTTTTTAAGAGTTTGGCTTTTTTTTTTAAACATTTATTTATTTATGCATATAAGAGCTAGGGTGCAGGGCCAGAGGTGTGTGGGGTGAGAGGATTCACCAGAGACAGAGTGGGGAACAGAACAGGCAGAGTGACTGAAGTACGCTGCTGAGGGATGCAGCGGGTGTCAGGAGAGGTCTACTGCGCTGTGTGGGTTGCTCCCTGGAAGGCCAGGGATTGAACTCATGCTGCTGTGGATAGTTCCATAGGTTGCGTCTTAACCCTTTGCACCACCAGGGAAGCCCCCCCCCCCACACCCCCCCCCCGTATCCATGCTTTTATTGCTCTCCTCCGCCACCAGGAAGGCTGCTCCTTCAGCTTCGGTGACAGAGTTGAGTGTTCATTCCAGATAATTTAATCACTGTAGGTAGCTAATGTCTGATTCAGGCCAAGAAGATGCATCTCCTGCCTTTCTCCCTGCCCCTCTCTTTTGCTGAAATAGAAATCTCATGACCTCAGTCAGCTTGCTGTTCTTACTACGGAACCTTAGAAGACAGAATGGCACAGTGAAAGATTAGGCTTCAGAAGAGTGAGGTCCTAATCTTAGCCATCACGTGTGACCTTAGACAAATTCATTAACTTGGCTTCAGTTTCTTTCATAGTGTTCAAGATGGGATTAGAACTAAGATTCAGATACCTATAGAATTTGGAAACTATTTGTGCACTGTTTTATTCAAGGCAAGCTTAAGTGTTGTTACAGATAGACTCCAAAACGTAATGGCTCAAAAACAACCTCCTGAAGAGTCTAAGGGGCAGTGTGGCCTTCTCCACGTGAGGCCGAGAGCCCAGGCTCCTTCCATCTCGTGCCTTTGCCCCTCCTTAAAGCCTTGTTGTTATTGCTTGGTTGAGGCTGAGTCTGGTTAGCAAAAGGGGGAGCAGCAAGTGGGGGACGCACACTGATCCCTTTAAAGGCTGGAAATGGCATCTGATCCTGTTCCACTGTTAGAATTTAGCCGCATCGACATCCCTAACTGCAAGACACCGATAAATATAAGGGAGCTGTGTACCCAGGACGAAGAGGAGGGAGGATCAACCTGAGTTACATTAGGGTTAAAAAAATTAATTGGAAAAAAACCTGAACTTGTCTGTCATGAGACTCTGACACATGTGAATATATCAGCGGACCTTGAGGTGGGTGGTAGGTAGCTATAGAGAAAGATAAAAGCCATCATTTAAATTTAGTTCCTGAAAAAGAAGCATGATTTTATCCAGCAGTCCCCGCCTTGTCCTCAGAGGATATCTTCCAAGACCCCCAGAGGGTGGGTGCCTGAAACTGCAGATAGTACCAAACCCTATTGGTACATGATGTATTTTCCTACACATACATGCCTAGGACGAAAGGTCTCACTCTTAGATACCTTCATGTATGTAATATTTCCAGCCCATGGTTAAAGGAAGGGGTGGGGGAGCAAAACTGCAGATAAGGGCAAACATTGTACTTTATATATCAAGGGGTTTTTAATCTTTTCACACCATGATACCCTTTGAAAGTCTGATGAAGCCCTCTCTCAGAAGACAGAAGACATTTTTATTTTAAAATTTTTTTATTTATTTTGCATACAAGAGCTGGATACAGGCCAAAGATGTGGGAGGGTGAGGGGATTCACCAGAGATAGAGTAGGGAGTAGCACAGGCAGATTGACTGAAACACACTGCTGAGGGGAGCAGCGGGCGAGACAGGAGAGGTCTGTTTTGCCATGTGGGTTGCTCCCTGGTCGGGCAGGGATCGAACTCGTGCTGCAGAGGCTACAGATTGCTTCACAGTGTGGTGCTTAACCTCTTGCGCCACCATGGAGGCCCGAGAAGACATTTTTAAATGGATAAAACACATAGGATACTAAAAATATGCATTATGTTCAGTTCCCAAAACATTTAAATATCTGGGCTGCAGTATGTGATGGACACGGCGATGAGCTTCCTGGATCCCCCTTCAAGGAAGGACTTGTTGCTGTAGTGCCTTGGGGTCCTGCAGCAAACAGACTTCAGTCTGTTGAGGGATTGCCTCAGCAGCAAGAATCACTGCTTCCTGGGAGGCCTGAGTGTAGAGGCTGATAGGGGTCCCCAAAACAAGGGAGGCCAGATGCAGCCCTTAACTATCTATGGAGTTACAGGTTTAATCTTTCTGGTTAGTTGCAGCACTGATTCTCCTCAGTGGACCCTAAAAAAATGGTGTTCACCCTTCACCCATTTAGAATGGAATTTACAAACTAGTAGGTAATGTAGTTCTGTGCTGAGTCCAAAAGACACCAGGGGCAGTCCGTATGGCCTGTCATCACTGATAGGAGAAAATGTGCAGGTTGATCTGGTTTCTCTTAGGTAATCTTAGTTTCCACTATTCAGCCCAGTCACGCAGGCTGGTTTGGGCTGAGTGACCAGAAGGATATTAAAGATCCTTCTTCAGATGAGAGTGTGGCATTTTGCATATATCCTGGTGTTGATGATCCTGAGCTGAAATGCGTCCCATGTAGCTGACAGGTAGCTGCATCTAGATATCTTGGACATCTCTGAAGTTTACCTGTGACTTCTTGACCCACTGGATTATTATTTTGTTACTTTTGTCAGTATCTTTTGTGAGTGCACCTTCTGTATCCTGTAAATCATTTCACTAATCCAAAAAGGCGTAAGTGGTGCACCATCAGAAGCCAGGCAGATGGATGCATTTATCATAATGACTGGTTAGGTTGGAGTGGTGGCCGGGACCTGACCTACAGAGAGCTGGGGAATTGGGTAATCGTACACAGAGTCCCTGGGGGCCAGTGGGCAGCCAGAAAGGGTATTATTCAACCTGTGCTATCAGAAGAAATCAAGGATGAATGATCAAGGGAGCTAAGGCATTCACTCCAATTAAAAAGTCATGCTTCCTGGCTCAGTTTTCAGACCTGAGCCAGTTTTCAGACCCAGAACTTATTGATTGAAAAGAATGCTGCCTCCCCATGAAGATGGACCCTAAAACACCATGGCAAGTGTATATTGGACAAAGAGTAATACCAAGATATTTTGGGGACAGTTGGACACAAACTGACATTAATACCCAGAGACCTATTGTACCATCACGGTCCTCATCTGCAGACACATAATGGAGTCCTGGCCAAGAGCAGGCTGAGATTAAATCCACTGGATCCACAAACCCCTGCGAGGCATCATTTCCACAGTTCCCACATGAAAAATGGAGATAGTTATATTTGACAGATGGAGCTGCCCCACACTGAATTGGCTTGTGGAGTAAGAACTAGAGTGGTCAATAAACCCTCCTTCACTTGGGTCAACATAAATTAGAAATAATTTTGCATTCTGACGGGGGGAGTTGAGATTAATGCCACCCTTAGGGATCTAAAGGATGCACGAATAGCAGTTTTCTTCCTGTTGCCATTTAATTCACTGTTTGGGCTCGTGTAGAAACCAGAGATTCTATGGAATTGCACTGGCCTACTTCAAACTCAACAGGGTAGTAGCCCCTGGCACACACCATGCCATACATTTACAATGCCCCCTCCCCGGGGCCATGCTCATTTTCCCACCCTGTCATGATATAGTTCTTGCCAGTTTTCAAATGTACTGCCTCTCCTCTCCAAATCTACCCTTCATTACCTGCTCTGTGAGAATGCAACTGGGCCCTTTAAGGATTTCTCTTTTGTGGTGGGCATGATGTTAAGTTTGTCAGAAGAGGCCTAGTCTGGGCTCCCATTAAAGGTTCTGGTGTGCTTGGGTTTCAATTCTTGCTTCTATTACATGATTGCCAGAGCTGCACGTGAGGGCACAGCTGGTGGCACTGTGGATCCACTGCACACTCAGCATGTGCAGTCCTCAGGGAGCCTGCGCCTTGGTTCCCGCCGGAGCCTACCTCACTGTGGCTCTCCTGCTGTGGATACTGTACCCCCAGGCTTCCCAGTGCATCACCGAGTTCCCGCCACCCTCACTCCCATTGTGCATCCACCCCTGTGGGCTCACCTGTGTCGTGGGGGGCTGCTTCCTGATGTTCTTCCAACAGAGACACTTCATACCCCAGCTCCTAGGCTGTC